GAAAGGGCGACTTACGTTGGAGCATACATGATGGCAACAGTCAGGAGGTGTCCATTGGTAAGGCCGATGAGAGCCACAAAGAGGATCGGCCAAGCATCGTGCACAAAAATGGCCGGCATGTAGTTGTGTGGATTCTGATTGCAGAGGAGAGCCAGTGGCACGAAGACAAAGCGTAGGAGAACGAAAAATCCCAGAAGGCGGGACTGATGGGCGCCGGGCTATTTTGGAGTACAAATAACAACACAGGCGTACACTTTAAAGGACAGGCACAGTTCAGGTAGCAGAAGGCGCCATAGGTGGCGGCTAAAAACATTCTGAAGAGTCATCAGTCTCTCTGGTGTGTACATGGACCAAAAAGTGAAGGAGAAATTTCGCGTTCCAGGTATTTGCATGGATAAAGAAGCAGGATTATCGAGCACCGGATCAATTTGTTTATTATCCTGAACTACATCTGCCGAGAAAGGCCGTTTAAAGTATTTGGAGGTGTATGCACGGTCACGACAAAACCCCATACTCCTGGCCAGTGGTATTGCAACGAACCATCCCGGACCATGGGTGTTTGAACGAACCAATGTCACTTACGGCGCGGCTCCGGATGAGGATTGTGTGAACGTCTGTTGGTGAAGAAGCCGGTGTTCCTTGCCATCCCCTTCGCTGACACTATTTCCCCCTCGTAAAGTGTCGTGTCGTCGTCTCCTTACCGTCAGCATCCCCATGGCCCTCACCTGCAGTTCCCCACCGGTATCTAATTGAGATTCTGTGGCCACCCCTCACTCCAAATGGACCAACTGTACAGGTCCTCGGTAACCTTTAATATCGTATCCTTCCGCTTTTTACTGTTTATCAGTTTCTTTATATCAGCAGATCTTATTTGTTACTATCTCGTGATTCTTCTACCTCCCTACGCGTTTGTGTGTTGTGTTGATTAACAAACTCGTTCGGCGTTACCCCCTGAGACCTAAACAGGTGAGCTACTCCTTTAGGTGTGTGCCAGCCCCGGGCCGCTACAGTAATGAAAGACCAACACAAGCGAACATGCGAGTCCCGTTTCTGCTACTGTTTTCTGCTAATGTCTCTGATTATGAGTCCGCGACGGACGTCGAAACGTCAGGCGAATAAACGTATTGTACCAGCGATCGAGTCGTCTTCTTCTCAAGTACTGAAAGAGTCAACATCCGCCTCATTGAGCTGCTGCTCAGGAACTCTGCTTCGCTCCCCACCCCCCTCCACTGAACGCAATAATCTGATGACGGGTTGGAGTAAGTAGAGATTGAGAGACCGGGACGGATGAAAATCGTCCACGCGCGTGTTGTCATCATTAGCTGTTGCAGCCCTCGACGGAGGAGCCCCTGTGCACCCATCGCCGGTTGTCGAGGCTAAACAGTCATCCACACACATACGGTGGTGTTTAGATACGTGACCTGTAAAAACGGTAACCGTCATCGGTAAGGGGGTGAAGGCGCACGAAAGAGGACCGCGGGTCAGCGCTTCTGACCGAGGAATGAACCACAGGCTAGGTCAGACAGTGTAAACTATTACGGCGAGTGTGCACGCGAAGAGTCGGTTGGACTGACATGCGCGCGTGTGTACGCAGGCATTGTAAAATGAGGGCGCTGTGTGAATGCTTGCGCGGTCTTACCAGACCTGTTTAGAGAAACAGCGGGCACGGACTGTGTCATGCAAAAGAATCCTAAAAGAACAGGGAAGTGCGTGCAGTCGTATTCGCTGTCTGCCGACAGTCTGACCGTCGATTTCGACGATATATCCACCAGGTGCTTCAGCAAGCAAGCTGAAAGCAAACACAGTGACTTGCGCGTGAATTAGTTCTAAGTGACAGTAGACTTGCGCAACATCTACCGCACTCTCTCGCTCTCTCGCCCCTCACCCAGCTTGACTCGGTGGCGAGACACAGTCAAGACGACCGGAGGCGGGATCAGGCGCAGATGGGGCCGAAATGCGCGCCGCCACACCTGGCTCGGATCCCAACTATGCGTGGGACTGCCATAAAGGCCACATTAAGAAGGAGCCATTGCAGTCTGACTCTCAGTCTG